GGGGCCGTGCCGGCTGGCCACGACCCCCCCGCCCCCTCCCCTCAGCGAGGCAGAAACGCGAGTACCATTAAACCTGTCTATGGCCTCCTGGCGCAGCCCGCCCGTGATGCCCCCGTCGATCCGCTCGTACTTGTAGCCTTCATACTCCAGGAAATCCTCCAGCAAGTCCAGCATCTTTGTCATCTGCAGGGCAAGGCGACACTGGCAGGGGGGGACCCCGTGCCCCTGCCCACAGCCCCACGGCCAAGGTGTCTGAGCGGCTCACCCCGAAGAGGAGCACCATTACTGTTATCTCCTCTTCATCCATAGATAAAGGAGTTTTGAACATCACAGGCACTCCCTGGGCAGAGAGCTGGGACACGGTCCATCTACCATGACTGCCACAGCTGCCACACTATCTGGGGGATAGGCTGCCACCAGCTCTTCTGCCTATCTCTATCTGTTCCTAGCACAAAATTCTCACACAGAAGGACAAAAAATATTACTAATCATTCCTCATGCCCACCTGGGAGAAGATGAGAACCCTGTGACCCCCATCCCGTAACTTCTTCAGCATCTTTTGGAGCAGCATCAGTTTCCCAGAAGATTTGACCAAAGAATTCCCATCGTAGGATCCGTTGGGCAGAACCGGGGCCTCCTGTGAAGGCATCCTGGTTAGCCGAGGCCAACACTCACTAACTGCGCAGAGAAGTTCACGTGCATTTCAGAGGCAAAGCCCTTTTACGAAACCACTTGCATGAAAACTCCCCCCACTAACAAAAGCAAGATCACGGGAACTGCCCCCCCAGCGACAGCTTACACACGATATTGTGAGAAACGCCCACACGGTGCAAATAGAGTTGACATACCACCGCCGCCACGGGGAAGAGGTACGGGTGATTGCAGCACTTCTTCAGGTCCATCATGATGTTGAGCAGCGAGACCTGGTTCCCACCACCTTTGGAATTCAGGGCTTCAAAATTCCTCGTCAGGATGAACTTGTAGTACTTCCTGCGGGCACGGGGACAGGACAGACACCCTCGTTAACTCAGCCCAACGGGGGACTGTGGGAGCCAGGCAGCACCGAGTGAAACCCCACTCATATCCACTTCAAAACAGACGTTTTTAAAGCAGTGTTTTGGCACCCTGAGCCAAAGGCCAGGTTTATTTGATGGCTCTGTGGCCATCACAGCCCCCTGCAAGTGGGATGGACTCAAGGGCACAGGGACCTGGAACACTCCCCACTGCTGGTGCAAACCAAGCCCTGCCCTACCTGCCCCTCCCCACAGGAGCCCCCTGGGCAGGAGGTGCTGCTGGAGCTGAGCAAGTCAGCCCAGAACCAGCAGAGCTGAGCAAGCATCCCTGGGGCAGGAGGGACGCTCAGACCCATGCCGGGCGAGCTGGCAGCACGGGCTGGTGCTGAGAACAGGAGGAGAAGGGAGTTCAGCCTCAGTGTTTCCTTTGCACCCCCCAGGACCGCCGGCTACACATCAAACAGCTCTGCTGAGCGGCCAGGACGGCACAGAGCCCCGTTTAGCCTGGCTGAGCGCGTTCCCCGGTGAGAGAGAAAGAACTCCAGCGCTTTCTGCAGCCAGCCTGGGGACAGCGGGGTCCCTCTGAGCCACTGAACCCCACTGACCCCCGCTGTGCTGCGGGCGAGATGGGGTGGGGGAAGCCAACCCCCCCAGGGGAGCCGCACTGGAATTACTCACTTCTGCATCTGGCTCAGCTCCACTCTCACAATCAGCTCCGTCTTGGCGGGCATGTTCTTGAACACGTCCACCTTGAGCCGCCGCAGCATGTGGGGACCCAGTAGGTCGTGAAGCTTTTTGATCTGGTCCTCCTTGGAGATGTCTGCAAACTCCTCCAGGAAGCCCTCCAGGTTACTGTGAAAGCAGCCAGAACCACACAGTGCTGAGCGATAACGGGACACACATGAGAAAAGATATCTGGTTTTTATGACTTGAAAACAAAGGCAGAGCTCTCATGCCATGCACTGAGGTACCAAACGCTCCTGAGCCTGTATCTGAGCAGAGCAAAAGCCAGAGCGAGCAGCTGCACCGATGCCTGTGGGGAAACTCGCACTAAATGCACTGACATGAGGCCTGAAGAAGTTCCACGAAGTACCCCTGAAAGCAGGTTTCAGTTCCTCACTTACAAACCTCCTGACCAACAGCAAGGCAATGGCTACCCACAGGACCCAAGAGGTAGTAATCCACGGGAACAAATTTGGGTTAAAGGTGCACGTAGCTGCTACGACAAACTGTGGGGATCCGCTTTGCGATCTGCCTGCTGGCACAGATCAGCAACAGTGGCACAGCAGGAACTGGATCCAGCACCCCCACACAGCCAGGAGCCCCAGGAAACTGGAAAACCTCTGCTGAGGCACCCTGCTGCTCACTCTTTTCAGAGGAGGGAACTACTGCAACTTACTTAAACCTCTCAGGAGTCAGGAAATTGAGCAGGTGGAAGAGCTCTTCCAAGTTGTTCTGGAGCGGAGTCCCGGTGAGCAGCAGCTTGTAATCGATCTTGTAGCTATTTAATACTCTAAAGAACTGAGAAAAGAAATGAGGTTAGGGGAAAAGAGCTCCGAGGAGCTGATTAGTCATCGGGGATTCTGCAGATTGTGCACAGAGGGACTCAGGAGTCACCTCTCCCCACCACCGGGCACACAGAGCAGACCACAGCTCGGCTGTCCTGCTTCAAGGCATCACCATCGAGCAGAGGCAGCAATGCTGCCTGTCCTGAGGTCACAGCACCTGCCTCCCCTGTGCTGGGGACTGGGTGAGCGTCCCAGGGGCCAGACATTGCATTTAGCCTCAAGTAAACGGGAGAAGAAGGAGAGAGATTGCTTCTCTTCCACAACGGCCCATCCGAAGGCTGCCAGACAGGCAGCCAGGCTGCCACCTCTTCCACTGCTGAAGGATTTTTAGCACCAAAGGACATTAAGGAGAGCAACTCCACCGAAATGTGGGTCCCAGGCAGAGCCTGGGCGAGGCGAGGACATGGTTCAGCTCCCAGGAGGAAAGCACCAAGCACCAGTGCTGGGGAGTCGTAACTTTGTGGCACCAGCTGCACCACAGAAATTGCTCATGAAGTCTGGCACCTACCTTGGACTGGTTGTTCTTCAGCCTGTGGGCTTCATCCACCACCAGACAGGCCCACTCTATGGAGCCCAGCACCGCCTGGTCAATTGTGATCAGCTCATAGGAGGTGAGCAGGACGTGGAACTTGATCTGGGCTTCCTTCTGGAGGAGCAGAAGAAGAGAAAAGCCTGGATAAGAGAGCAGGGACCAGGACAACCTCCACCTTTGCTGCCGCTGCATGGGACCCCAGGAGAGAAGGGGCAGCTTCCTGCACCGCAAAACGCCAGCAGCAGGGCCGAGATACAAGCGGTTCCAGCAGAAAATCTGTACTCATCTGAACGTCAGAACAAAGCTGGGGACTATAGAAAAGGGCCTGGCACAGATCTTCAAAGCTCATCACAAATCTCCTGCATTTGTAACCAGTGCCAGCTTCTCTCTTTGGAAAACACCTGATTTGGGCCTCATCAAACCCCTTCACCAGGTCAAATTCTGCTCTCTCCCCTTCTCACTGATGGCTGAAGCTACTGGCTAGGGCACAGACTCAGCTCCCACCTTCATCCGGAACACCTTCTTTCCGCTCCGGATGGCGTTGTCTTCAAAAGAGAACTCATTTTCCCGGATGACCGACCGGCTTTCTTTATCCCCCGTGTAGGTCACGACGTAGAAGTCGGGTGCCCACATCTCAAACTCGCGTTCCCAGTTGATGATGGTGGAGAGAGGGGCGCTCACCAGATACGGCCCTTTGGAGTGGCCCTGCCCAGGGAGACAAAGCTCAAGCTGTTCTCCCTGTACCGAGCAGCTCGCAGCCACCTCAGGGACCACTGGACGCTCCACTCACCTCCTTGTACAGGGAATACAAGAACACAATGGTCTGCACAGTCTTCCCCAGCCCCATCTCGTCAGCCAGGATTGTATCTGTCCCCTGGGCCCAGGAAAATCTCAGCCAGTTTAGCCCTTCCAGCTGGTAAGGATGGAGCGTGCCCCCCGTGGCATCGATGTACCACGGCTGCTTGTCAAACTTCACCGTAGGCTGGAGAGAGACACGATGCCAAGCAGTGAGAACCAGCTCCCCCTCCTTTTTCTTTCTCTGCAGCCAAGCACATCCCAAAAAAAAAACAACCAGGGTCCCCAAAGGAGCTAGAGTAGAAAAATCAGGAGGAAAGGGGCAGACAGATTCTCGCTGGGCTCACGCGTTGTGCTGCCCCTGCCATTCTTACATCCACAAGAGGTGTTTCTGGAGGCTTTTCCAGCTTCTCCTCTTTCAGCTTTTTCCCTTTCTTGTTCAGCTTCTTCAGAGGGCGCGTGTCCTCCCCCAGCATCAGCTCCCTGCAACAGGCAGGGCAGTCAGGGAGACGCAGCAGGCATTCTTCTGCCACATCCCCAGCCCAGGGACAGGGATGCCTCTCCAACTCCACTGCCCTCTCCCAGCTCTTCTGGCTCAGTTAGCACAGGCACTCGTGGAGCATTAATTTTCCCCTCCCAACTGTCCACGCAGCACCATCCAAAAATGCAGAACAGCCATTTCAGTGTTGTGGTTTTCCCCCAAAACAGAGCTGCCCTGGAGTGCGGTGAGACCACAAGGTGAGGGCAGTGACAAACACGGGGAAAGGGAGCACAGGCTGGAAAACAGCCCACAGGCAGCACTGCCCAGCAGCTCTGAAACGGCATTTCGGGAGGGTCAGCCTTCCAAAAGCACGCGGCCACTGCTCTCTGAAGAGAGGACGCTGCGAGCAGTGCCAGTGTGTTCAAAAGGGGGACACCGACGAGTCCCCAGTCACCCCAAACACCAGTCCGGGCTGCCCCAGCTCTGCCCCACTGCCCGCACCTGTGGTTCCAGTAGAGATGTTTGAGGTTTTCGTAGTATGGGATGTCTATCTCGTCGATCTCCCAGGTGCACTGGTCGTAGGGCAGGTCTTTCCACTTGATCAGATAATGGATGTCTCCCTTTTTGTCAAAGCTGTAACACAGGGTGTGAGAGCCTGTCAGTGGCACCGCGCTCAGCCCCTGGAAGCAGCTAGCCATGACCTGCTTCCACAAACCTGCGTCCTCCAGCCTCTGCTTTTACCTACAGACCATGACACTCAACCAGAAGCAGAAAAATGTAAAGAAAGTATTGGCCCTTTCCAGCAGAGATGCCCAAAATCATTGAGCTTTAGAGGGTGCTCTTCCATCTGAACAACCCTGTTTTCCTGTTTTACCAGGACTGGATGAACACCAGCACTCATCCTCTTTCTCCTGCAGCATTTCCTCTGTGAAGTTTGGCTTACATGGAAAAACAAATAAACACACTACTGAGTCTGATTATATGCCTACAGGGAAAAAAATCTTTGCCCTATTAGCAGACAATGTAAACCTCTCATGAAAATTAGCCAGGCAGCTTTATTTATTTTCTGCCAAGCAGCCTTCAAGCAGAGTTGCCACTTGAGATTTCCAGTTGCCACTTGAAACGTAGATATTCAACAAAAAGGTGTCTCTAGCCGCCCAACGTGAAAAAAACCCAAACAAACAACACATCTGCACAGCACACATCAAATGCAGGAAATTTCTTCCACAGAGGAAGAAATTTCTAAGAGGAACAAGAGACCTGCACAGAAATAGGCTGCTCTTCCCCGGGTCAGTGGCAGCAGCTGCAGGGCACACCTGACAGAAGCAAGACCCAACACCGGGTCAGAGCAGAGATTTACAAAATGATCAGGATGTAACAGGGACCCAAACAATACACGTAGGAATAGCGGAACAACTCTGTGCATCCACCCTGGAGAAAATTTACTATCTTTAACATGTAGCGTAGCAAAAACAAAAATAAGGAAGGCATTGATTCACTTCTGGCCTTGGCTTCACCTCGCGAGGAATGCTGCGAGGTGACAGAGACCTCGAAACAAGCCAGCAGCTGAAATCCCACCAGCCACTTGCAGAAGGATGCAAGAACTTCCCATTCTCACAGGCAGAACACCGCCGAGCAGAGATGTCCCGCAGCGGGCAGTCTCAGGGACTCCCCACGTAAACCATCCGTGTGAGAGCTGTGCGTGAAAGGAAAACCTCCAGGGAGCGCAGAACCGCTGCTCAAAGCACCGCCCGCAGGACTCGTGGGGGTCACGGGGTGCATGGCAGGGCTCGCCCCTGCCATTTCCCTGCCTGGCTCACAGCAGTATCGCTCAGCACCAACACTACCAGGGGCTCAGGCACCCTGACACGCATCCCTCCACGGCCCGCTCACACGTCTGCTGCCTGCAGCTCCTCACCTGTGGTTCAGGATGCGGTGGATCATCATCCACTCGGGCTTGATGCCGTAGCGGTAGAACCGCTCCTCCATCTTGGCGTACTGCGGGGCCTGCTTCTTCCGCTTATCCCTCTGGATGTTCTCGGCC